AAGGAAGATTAAATATCCAGTGTTTTAATTGATGCAGTTTTATGTACAGAAAAATGGAATACACGTCAAAATTACTTCTCTTGCAGTTTCTAGCTGGAGTTTATTGGGTTTGTTTCAAGGGACATCCTGTCCTGTGGATCTAGATCACTTAGTTCAGCTGTCATGACTATAACCTGACTGATAATGTATGTATGATTCCTTTTGGTGACAATAAAAGGTTAATGTTAATGTTGTTTGTCAGCTCTCAGTGTACCCTTAGTATATTCTGGGTGTGTCATAAAATCTGTTAAGTATCTCCTTAAAGTACATAAAAACCCAAGCTGGAAACCTCAACAAAATGCCCATGATAGGCCCTGGTTGCATTTCTTGGGTTTTTATTTTTTATTTTTCAGAATTGCTTTCATGTAATTGGCAGGACTTGAACTTCACTTAGTTCATGTGATAAAACGTAACTTTCCCAAAGTTCAGTGTTAAGGAACTAGATGACTTTTGAGGTCCCTTTTAACCCAAGCCATTCTGTAAGTCTGTGATTCTAATAGTGGAAATGGTTCCAGTGTACAGAGTAATGCTGTAGTTTTGCAAGTCATACCCATGTGCTCGACTTCACTAGCGTGAGTAATTCCATTTAAATCAGCAGCATTATGATGCCGTTAAGCTTGGTGTAAGTTTTAGAACATCAGAACCTCAGGTAGCTTTCACGTACACATTGGGTGGAAGGCCCACATCATTCCTTAGTTCATTCTAAACACGTTCTTTGGCCACAGGCCATTAAAAAATAGATTTTTTGTATCACTTATGTCAAAAGACAGTTACTTAATTTTCATAGGGTGTAATAGCGTATTTTAAGTGTTTTTGTAGCGGGAAGTGGATTTTAATTTGTTTCATTTAAATTTCTCATTAGTATATTACGTGGTTTCTCGATTATTCCTGTAATGCCAAATGCCTTCCAGATAAAAAAGAAGACAAGGTCTTTCCTCTGACATGTCCTTAAGCTAAATTGATGTGTGCATTGTCACTGTATCTCACACTTATCTTGTGGCCCCACTTGTAGCTTGATACCGTGATTCAGTCCTTAAGCCCTTTGCCTTCATCATTAACATTGTTTGCTCCAGAGCAGGAGGGACTGGCGTATTCCATCTGTGTGTTATGAATTAAGTTCATATGCAGCATGATTAGGGCAACTTGCTGTTTTCTCCTCCCCACTCCCCTGCAATCTTTGTTTTAATTGTTATTATTCATAGGAAAATACTAGGTTGCCAACATAAAAACAAACAGATGCTTGTGTATGTAAGAGAAGAACACAACTGGGTCATGTAGAAGAGAAGTTGAGACTGTTAAGCTCCTGTAACTTGACTCTTAAGATAGTGTACACTAGAACACATACATTTCTCAACTAATGTATGGTGTTTATGTACTGATTAGTGATTATTTTTTTCTCTTGAAGCCTTATGATGCCTCATAACATTAAATAACAAATTTGTTCTTCAGCCAGAAGGCAGAATTGAAGGCCTTTGCTGTATCCTCTTAACTGCTTCCTCAGTGCACTGCAGAAACAAGTCCCCAGACTCTCACACTGAGGTGCCTCAAGGCTCCTTCCATTTTCTCCTTAATTACACAGCAATAGCTTCTCCCTGTCCCCCAGTTCAGCTCAGTGCTATTTCTGAGAGACAGCTGTAAAACTCTTACTGGAGTGAAATCACTTCCTGCATTCATTTGCAAGAGCAGTAGATTTTTATTTGACTGCTGAAGTGTGCTGTTTAAGACTTAACCCACAGTTTTAATCACTATGTATTTGTCTAGCTTTCAGTCAGTTTCTACTAATACTGACTTTACAGTAACTTGCCGAACTAATCCTTCTGTTAGATAGGAGTTGGCTTTTCCTGTGACTTTTTCATTACTTTACTTTGGGAAACAGAATCTCAGGGTGTAGAGGAAGAAAAAGTCTAGGCAAAAGATCCTGGAAGTCTGTGTTCAGGACTAGACAAGATGTTACTGCACCTGATGCGTCAATTCTAAGACTTCTGTTGGAAAACTGACCACCTAAATTACTGTTTCCTTATTTTTTTAATGCAATAGGATATTACTGACAACTAAACATTGTTGTGAGGTGGGTGGTGAGGCACTGGCACAGGTTGCCCAAAGAAGTGATGAATGCCCCGTTCCTGGCAGTGTTCAAGGCCAGGTTGGACAGAGCCTTGGGTGACATGGTCTAGTGTGAGGTGTCTCTGCCCATGGCAGGGGGTTGGAACTGGATGACCTTAAGGTACTTTCCAACCCAAACCATTCTGTGATTTTACAGTTCTTTAATGAAGTCAGCTTTGAGTTGGCAAACCAGTGTAACAGCTTTAATATGATTATCAAATAATGCAGGGAAGATTAACCTGTTTCCTTGAAGGAGAGACTGAGGCTTTAAGATATTCCTGCATTCACAGCATATACAAGTATTCTCACAAAAATTGTGGCAACCTGGGGAAAAGGTATGGATTTACTCGTAGGGATAGATTTATCTGAACTTAGACCACCAGATTGTTTAGGTCATCACTGTTTCTCACTAAATATCAGGAGTTATGAGGCTAAATTATAGCTGTGGTTAAAATACAAAGTAATTGCAACGTGGTATATGAATTTTGTGAATGGGGAGGAGAGGTTGGGTGACTTTTGGGTTTGTTTTGGTTTTTTCACCGAAGTAAATGAGCTCCTCATGGGCTCATTTTCATCTTGATTTTTCTGTTTTGTGTTGATGTATTTATACATATGACTGTGCTTTAACATTATCCATGTGACTTTCTTCACATTCATAAAATACTTAAATTCTCTCACTTGGCAGCATACTAAGTGCTCAGAACAGGCATATAAGCAACTACCTAACTCTCCTGGTTTTAGCTAGAAAACAAATGCTGTAAGTGGTCTGGCTCACCCATTTCTGTGCACCTAGTAGAAACTTTCTGGTCCTGGCTTTTCCCTCTCACTGTGCCAACAACAGTTCCAGTCACCTCTGTTCCATGTCACTCGCACTAACACACGCGAGCTCATCACTTCTGTGCTTCAATGTAATCGTCCTGCTCATTCACAACCTTCCTTTTTGGCTGTGAAAGACTAATTGTCCTCTTATGAATTTGGTCCTCTTCAAATAACAACTAGAAGGCAAATAGGATCTCCCTGCTCATCGCAGGGGGTTGGACTAGATGACCTTTGAAAGTCCCTTCCAATCTCAACTATTCTATGATCTCCTTTCCTGTCTAGGTAGGGGCAGTAGCACCTCTGTTTAGGTTGATGTTATGCCAAATAGAGCTTTTCCCTGGTACTTGACAGAACTTTGCCATAAAAGAGATTGAGAGATGTTTAAGGTCATAGGTACTTCTGTGATCCTCTCACTATGTTTGCTGCAAGATTTTCCCGTTTTCTATAGGCAACAGTGTCACTTTTTTAACAGTTGAACATAAAAATAGCTTCAGTAGAACTGTTGGGGCAGGAAGCATAATTACTGGCGAGCACTGTTTCCCTTTCTCTGAAGTAAAACAGGAAAATGCACTCTTTTTTTGCAAAGCAGAATAATCCTCATGGGTTGAGATGGGAGGAGGCTGAACCCTTCTATTCAGGTATACGTGATTTGGTGTATTTGGTAGTAGTTATTGTAGCCATTTTGCATAGAAGGTGAGTCTTATATGTAGAGGTTGGAGTGGTTTAGAGGGTTGTGCAAATACTCCATGAAGAAGTGTCTTCGGAAGAACTTGCTGGGTGTATAAAGAGCCACTTTCAAGGCATAGCATTGTCGGTATGCTGTTACATTGAGTGGTGTATGTTCACAGGGCAGTTTGATTGATCCCCTGCCAATATCTTACAAGTACTTTTCTTGTTTTCTCAAATGTCTACTTTAGGTAGGCACTGAAAGAGACGTGCATACCTGGAGCAGTGCAGTTTCTGGCTCCAGGGTCATTGGAATCATAGGATCAGCTAGTTTGGACCTTACCTTCTGGATTGACAAATCCTCTTGCAGAGATGGTGAGGACAGAGCAATGGCTGCAAATGTCATGTTAATGCCCTTATTACAGTGGACTGGGGTTAACTAGAAGTGCTAAAGGGGAGGTAAACCAAATGCTGTTAGGGGATGCCATTAAAGGCCAGGTTGTACTGGACTTGGAGCAACGTGGTCTAGTGGAAGGTGTCCCTGCCTATGGCAGGGAGTTGGAACTGGATGAGCTTTAAGATCCTTTCCAACCCAAACCATTCTATGATTCTGTGATGGAGTGAAGCTGGTGGGAGAAGCACGGCAAAACAGAAGACTTACAAGGGACATAAGGTCAAAAGAGGAGGTGAGAGTGGGAGATAGCTGTTGTTTGGGAAGAGCATCCTCTAGCCAAGACTAGAAATGTATGTCAAGATCTTCACTTGTGTTGCTTCTTCAGCAGTTCCTGCCACTGCAACTTTGCAGTGGTTTGGTTTTGCACTTTTACCCCAAAGCTGTGAGTCAGTGCATAAGGAAAAAGGAAATTTTTTCCACTTGCTAAGCTTCCCAGTATCTGTAGGAGAGACTTTTCTCTTCCCCAGGTCCGAGGCAGGAAAAAAGGGACCCTGCCAGCTGTGCCAGGTCTTTCCTTTTTACCTCGCATAAAGTGTCCAGGTCTTGCTTCAGTTCCTGCAGCTGAACAGGCAGCTCCTGTTGGCACCTACCTGATCACTTTCTTTTCACTTGTTGTGTTTCCTCTCGGGGAGTGGAGGTGACACATGGGTGGACTTCATGTGTAATTAAACAAACACTTAATTAAAAAAGGTTAATTTCTTAAAAGCACTTAGAAAATCTTCTGAGTAAGAAGTGTTCTGATAAGCACAGGAGTCTGCTTTCCAAGTTCCTTATTTTGTGCTTCATTTATTTACCTTTTTTTGCTTTTTCAACTCCCTTTCTGCAATGTGGCATTTCCCACATGATCCCCGTGCCATTATGCGAACAGAGGTCTGCATGTCTTGCAAAGCAGTGACCGCTGTTTCTGACTCTCTTTCAGATGCAAGTATGGACATAATAGCCTATGATGCTTACTCCAGTCCACCGCTTCCGAGATATTGAAAGGAAACCTGAATACCTCCAGCCAGAAAAGTGTGTCCCACCTCCTAGCCACGCTTCCCTGGGAACAATGTGGTTTATTCGAGATGGCTGTGGTATTGCATGTGCTGTCGTTACCTGGATGCTGGTGTTCTATGCCGACTTTGTAGTCCTCCTTGTTATGCTAGTTCCATCAAGAGATTATGTTTATAGCGTCATCAATGGCACACTGTTCAACACCTTGGCTTTCCTCGCTTTGGCTTCACATTTTCGTGCTATGCTGACAGATCCAGTAAGTATATCTCTCTCTGTAATGTCTGGGGAAAAAGCAGGCAATGTTTTTCTTGTCTGCTACATGTTGGGGAACTCAGTTGCTTGAGTGAGTGGCAGATTTAAATAACTTTTGTGTGTCACCCTACAGATTGAGGCTGCTGATGTGGTATGCTAATTTGTCCTCCCACTCAAGTGAGATGCAAAGGACTCAGCTTTAGATTCTCATTGTGCAAGCAGCTCCTCTCTCTTTGCCCTGGGAAGGAGAGTGTTTCTCTCTGACACTTGTTTTTCCCCAGTAGCAGATCTGGGAGGTGTGTGTGTGTGTGTGTGTGTGGCTTGTCCTGTCTTGACAAACACGCAAACTGGAAAAGCTGGTTTTGATTGTCTGCCTTGGCAAGTATTGCTTCACCAGAAGGGAGCAGGATGCATATTGGTTTGAAAAGCCATGTTACCATCTCTCATACTGGTGATTTAGTTGAGTGTATTGGACCATGGTGAAATAAATACTGTGTGACCATACTAAAGAGCTGACAGTTCTAGGTGAGTGGGAAGCACACGAGTTCTAAGACCCTCTAGGATGTCTCTGTAGGAAACTGCTTTTTGAGAGAGGTGTTCTGCTCCTTTCTTGCCTTTCAGCTAGTAAGAAGATAGAGTTTAGTATTGGAACACTTACTCTGACTGGCCTGTGATGGTGTAGCTGCTTAATAACCACTGGTGAGTAGGTTCAGCTCAAAACCCCATCTCTGCTAGTCAGTGGAAGGAAAACCAAGCTTAGACTCCTCTTGGCCCCTTCCTCCTGAGTGTTCTTGATGCTATTGTGAATAGCGTGTGCCTCTGATACTCTTAATTATTCCTTCCAAACATCATTTGCTACTTGAAACTTTATTAGATGCCATTAAAACTTCAGTGTCATCATTGTTTCTTAGTTTCCAGCAATCCCAGAAGCCACAGCACTGCATAAATGGCTTGCTTTGGGGTAATTTCACAGTTTATAGTAGACTGATGACCTGCACAGCACTGCTGCTGGGCAGAACTGTAAGCAGTAGTTGAGGCTCTGAAAGTGCTGGTTGTCGGACTTTGGTATAGAGGGTTGCAGCAATTTGTGATACAGTTTGTACCCTGGGGGTTCTTTCTTGTTGTTAATTATTGTATATTGTGTAGCTTTAATGCCTGGGGACCTTCAAGTCACTGGAATTATTCTGCAGTTAGCAGGAACTCTGCTGAAACAAAAGCTGTATTCTGAAGCAGGCTGGGCAAACAGTGTTGGAGCAGCAGATACAATCTCTATGCAGAGTAATTGGGAAAAGAGATGTGAATTCCTAAAGTGTGGTGGAATTTGTGTGGGGATGGTGAGAAGCAGTGGGATTCTGATTTTTTTAATGAGGCTATCTGCTAAAAAATACAGAGGAGGGAAGATAAAGTGAGGGGGGGCAGCAACATCTATCAGACAGTGTGAGTCAGGGATGAAGGATGCTGACGGGACATGGGGAACCAGGGGCATGTCTAAGATCAAAATGAAACAGCCACTGCTGAGGCAAACAAGTACAATTCTAATTATAAATAAGTGAACACCTGATAGCCCGTGGCATGCTTTTCAGGAACTGCTTCCTGTGATGTCTTGCTAAAACATTCCTAAGGTTCTGAGTTTTGCTGCATACAGCTACCTGACAGGAGGATGGAGAAAGGAGGTGGCTGATGTCCCAGGTAACAAGCAATAGGATAAGAGGAACCAGTCTCAAGCTGTGACAGGGGAGGTTTAGACTGGAGCTGAGGAACAATTCCTTCCCCAGAGGGTGCTCAGGCATTGGAACAGGCTGCCCAGGGCAGGGCTGCAGTCACCGTCCCTGCAAGTGTTCACACAGCGTGGAGACGAGGCCTCAGTGCCATGGGTTAGGGGTGGCCTTGGCAGTGCTGGGGAATGGTTGACTTGATCTGAAAGGCCTTTTCTCGCCTAGTTCATTTTATGGTTCTGTACTAAAGACAGAGCATCCGAGTTGTAGCATTTTATAGAAATGGGTCTTGGTAATTTTTAAACTGGCTGGGCCTGTTGGGAGGTTTTTGTGGCAAAGCCCAGAGACTGCTCAAGAAAGCCTTATGGTACCTGTTTAATGTGCAGTTCTTTCATTGCTGTGTATTATTCCTGTTGTTGCTGTTAGGTCATACAGATGTGTTAAAAAGAGACATCAGAAACCTGTTAAAATATTACATCCCTGATTTTGTTTCAGTATAAAAGCCTTGCATCCACAGAGGTGCATTTGTGCCAGTGTACCAGTACTGATCTCATACAGCACATTTCATGACTTTCAGGGGGATTTGGGGGGGGGCTTGGGGGCAGGGGTGGTGGGGTTTGTGGCTTTGGGGGTGTGCGTGTATGGTTTTGGGGTGTTTCTTTAGCTAATACACAGTCCTAGAAACTCTGGAAACTCTTGAAGCCAGACTCTAGCAACAGCAACGCATAACCTGTTTAAAGACACACATTTTAAAGTGGGAATTGCACACCCTGAGAATGTTTTACCTAGTCGTATTCAGGTGGGAGGATTCTTAATGTTCACTGCTTGAATGTTAAACCCTCATTTAAATAACAAATACCCCATGGAAGCATAGCTATAAATACATAAGGTGTTTACCAGCAACTCTTAGTGCACACAATGATACTTCAGAAGTAGCTGTTTCTACTGGAATAAAATACCTGCAGCTTCCAGTTTGTGATATGAAGCACTGGCATGATGGATTTATTGATGGATGTGAAGAGAGGGACGAGGATGCTTAAATATTCTAAGGTTATTATAGGACTGCAAAAGACTAATTGCTTAAGTGAGGATTTACTGATGTTTAAACCAAAACTATGTTGAAGTATGTGGTTTCATGAATTAGGAGCTGATTTTAATTTCTTTTCTGAATATTCTTGCTCTTCTTGAAACTCTGTTGATCTTAGGGAAGTTTTTATTCTTCCTTTTCCGTCTCCTCCCATAGTTTTAAGTCATCCTTTTGTTCACAGCACTTACAACATTACAACAGGTTAATCTTCTGGTTTGTTCTGTTTCTTTTCTTTCTGCAGGGTGCTGTACCCAAAGGTAATGCCACAAAGGAGTTCATTGAGAGTTTACAGCTAAAGCCAGGACAGGTGGTTTACAAGTGCCCAAAGTGTTGTAGCATCAAACCTGACAGAGCACATCACTGCAGGTAAAGGCTTTTCTGAGGACTGCTCAGGAATTACCCAGTGGGCCTTGATCTTAATTGTTTTTGGAGTCTGAGACTGGAGTTACTGAATTGAGAGATTGGTATCCAGATTCTGTTGCCTATAGTGCCAGACACTGGAAAAATTCTCAGGCCTTCTCTGACAAATTTTCATCTAGAGCAGCCTGGGGCTGCTTCTTGCAAAGTGAGAAGCACTCAAATGCTGCCTTGACTCCAGACCTGTGATTGACATTCCATACATTTACATGTAAAGGTGACTTAAAAAGAGACATTCTATACCAGAATGCATAGAAACCTGTAAAATGTAATGTCTCTCAAAGGTCAGTGTCCTTTCTATGTTTGTTTTTATTCACCTCTTTAACTTGTAGGTTCTATTCAGGAGTGAGGTTTTAGTTCAGGTAACTAAAGTTTGTGTAACTGTGTATCTCTTAAGAGTTCTGACTTACACATTTCTATTAGGTAGTGTTACTTTGTGCTTTGTGATGGATTAGTAGCTACTGATGTATCATGTCCTTTCTTTTTCTGGTAGGATAAACTTCCCTGAAGACAGTAACTGGTAATAAGCTTTTTACTCGTAAAGGCAGTGAACAAAAAGAATTAACTACTTCCTAAAATTCTCTTCTGCTTGTAAAGCAAGTGAACTTGCTTTTAAGTAAGCAGTCAATGAGTTTGCAGTGATGTCATTTCCTTACTTCCTCTAAAACCAATACATGCTGAGAGAGCTCCTCTCGGGCTTACTGCTCATTTGTGCAGGTGTCTTCTGAGGAGGGGAATACATGGTACTGAGCTGAACAAACATGTGATGCTGTTTGCATTTTTCATGTTTATTTTCAGAGCTTTAGTTTACAAATGGAGTTTTTTGGTTTTTTTTTTTCATCAAAATCAGGAGTTGGTTCTTCAGCAGGAGCAATACGATCATGTCTATCACTTATTAATGCTGCTGTAAAATCCCCTCTGCCACTTGTTCAATTATGAATGAAACTTTGCATCTAAAATGCTGGCTTGCTGATGCCTTGCAGCCTAACACGAGCACAAAACCTCATCTCCATGGTCCTTTTTAATATGCTTTAAGAAAACTTTGTAGACATTAAGATTTGGGAAACCGATCCACTGAGCACTGGTGCTGTTGAGAATCAAACATCTTCTTTGTGGAGTAGGGGGATTTATTGTTTTTTCACACGTCAGAGTTGTGCATATACATCAGCAGGTGATCCTGCTAGCTGTATGCCTCAGGGGCCAGGGTGCTTTTTGATCCATGTGCTATATTGAGTCCCCCATGTCCAGCAAACTGCTCCTGACAGCATTTGGAAGCTGGCTGGTTGCAGTGGGGGAGAGTGTCTTGAGTATGGGCAATCCCCAATTGTTTTCAGTCTTTGTTTCTGTATCTCCTTTTCCCCCAGTTACTTTCATATTTTGCCTGTCATCCAACTGCTGTTGGTATGGACACATGGAATAAAACCTCTCAGCCTTGGCTACCTCCTTCATGGAGGTCTCTTTTGGCTCCACTGCTTCAGATTGATCCACTGGGGAACTAGGAGCAATTGGAGGGTTTGTTTGGGTATTTCCATGGTTCAGAACCCATGGGAAGTGTGTGCACATCTGCACACAGTAAATTAGACCACAGGGAGGCATCCTCCTGCTGCCTTCTGCATCTTCCTGCTTTATACCGCCTGCCCTGTCCTTCCTCCTTTTTGTGTTTTTAAACCAGGAATTGATATTTGTCATATGAAGTATGACATTATCTGACAGATGAATTATTTTTACTGTGCCAGCTGATTTCAGTCCCCATGTAGCTTGAAAATAATTCCAAGCTTCTTATCCTGGCAAAACCAGGCTTTTCCTGTTTTCTACCTCACCTGGGGCTGGAAGGTAATAGGGTATCCAGTCTGCCTGAGGAGAAGCAGCTCCTGATCTGGCTGTACACTGGGAGGCTGGGATCTGCCTCTCCAGCCTTTCTTCTAAGATCAGGGCTATAGCAACTCATTTGTTTGTCAGGCATGGCTGTATCCTTGGGGATTACCCCCTCCTGCCTCACAGAGCAAGTGCAAGGCTGTTCTGACAGAGAGGTTTTTATTATTTATTCATATGCCCTCATAAGAGCATGTTTATGTTTTTGTCTGTTTCCCTTAAGCTTTTGGCTGTGGAAGTTTATTGGTTATATTAAGATCAAAATATTTTTTGTTATAAGAAGAAAACCAACACTAGCAGAGCTTAATGTCGAGACTGTTTGAGTGCTGCCAGAATTGTTCTGGAATGGCTGTTTCCTTTCTTGGTTTGGTTTGGGGGTTTGGTGGTGTTTTCATATTTGATTTCTGTGCTTGTTTGTGCAATGTGGTATCAGGAGACTGCCTTTGTCTCCTATCATATGAGAAAGCAGCAGAGAAAAAGACTTCCTTTATTATAGGAGTTAAAGCAGTTACTGACGAAGCAAGGGGATGATGTTCACACAGAATCATAACCTTTGAATTCTTTGACTTGGAGCCACAACGTGCATTCTGGCAAGAATTTGAATTTAGGTGTTATTAGTCTGGTTTTGTCAAGGGCTTTAACACCACATTTTACCTTAAATGTATATTGTGATACTGGCTTCCTGACTAGCTGCCAAAGCTGTTTGCTGCTAGTATGTGGCTTACCTTGATGTCAACACTCTTTCCTAATGCTGTATTTAACTTTCTTTTTGGCAAGTTCCTGCAAAGGGCTAATGTTGGTAAATAAACCTTAGTGTGTTATTAGCAACTCTGAAAAAGGTCTTTATTCATTATGGCTTGTCCTGTGTTTCTGTTTTTTGTTTGGTTTTAATCTATGGACCTATTCACAGACCAAATAGGTTAAAGCTAAACTAAATCACAGATCTTTTTTTTTCCCTCTGCCTGAATGCATTGTTGAAAGCATGTTGTGGCAGAAGTACTTATGTGAATATTGTGTTAAGGTGTCTTACTTGGCATTTGTGTGGTGATTTGGTATTGTGTGGTTCATTTTGAACAGACATAGTCAAGTGAGCAAACCAAAAAGATGAACGTGATGACTAATGCATTTATTAAAGTTCAGATTTCGCCTCTGATTCTTTCCTTTAATCTCTGTGTGCCCCAAACCCCTGTGAAATGTTGTGTTCCTGGAATGAAATGTGCTAGAAATAAAGACCTGTATTCTTTCAGTGTTTGCAAGAGGTGTATTCGGAAAATGGATCATCACTGCCCGTGGGTCAATAACTGTGTAGGAGAGAATAACCAGAAGTACTTTGTACTGTTTACAGTAAGTATTTTGCCAGTGGTGTTTGTGGTTGGCCAGTGGGCAGCGCTGAAAGGCTTTGTTAGTCTCTGAAACAGCTCCCATGGTTGGATTTCTTCCCCCAAGGTTGGACTTACAGGGAACTGCGGCAGACTTTGGTTTCAGTAACTAGGGAACATACACAACAAGGGGAAAAAGGCATCACAGGAAGTATTTGCCAGGGTGTTGTGAGGTTTGTGTTGACAGTTGTTCAGCAGCACCTATTTTGAACGTGAGTAGCTTACTGTGGCATTGAGCTCCTTGAGGCGTGGGCTCTGCTTTTAAAATGTGTTGTGCCTGGTAGGGTCCCAGGCCATAGGCAGGGTTCCTAACTGTTGTAGTTGTATGAGTACCTGTGTGGGATCATACAATAAGAGCTGTTGCCACATCTTAAGCAAGGAGTGGGAAGTCTGCAGTCTCCTTGGCAAGAATTATCCATCTTTTACTTGCAAGTGATTTATTTTCATACTTGAAAACCAAGGACGTGTTTGACTTTTTGTACTATATCTGTGGCATCACGAATGAAAAGAGGAGTACAGACTTGAGTACTACATATTTCTGGAGGGGTTGAAATCTGTTTCATCAAAGTGAACTGCAGATACCTTGTGGGTGTAGTGTGAACATTACAAGTCTGGGTTTCAGTGATGCTCTGCTGTATTAATAAATCTTTTGAGACATCTGTAGGTTTGAGGAGGAATGTTGTTATAATACGAAGTACGAGGGGAAGATTTTCAGTTAAATGGAAAGGTTTACTGTTGTGTGGTTTACTTTGTTAGGATGTGAATTGCAGAACAAAACAAATCCCATTTCTTTCTCTTGAACAAGGCTTTTTCTCACCATGAGGAATGAGCTAGGTGTTTTAATCCTATCAAAAGGATTTCTGTTTCTGCTCAAACTGACATCTACTTTTAAGCAGGCTATATTAAACACTTCATGTAGTTGAGAGAAACAAATCAAAGGTGGCTGGTTTTGTTCATGTTTACTTTTGAGACCTGAGGAGGTGAAAGAATGGCAGCACATTCAATCTGCAAGATAAACCAAAATGCTCTCCTAGCACCTTTTACTGCTTCCACAGGGGGTTCTTGTAGCAAGATCTCTCGCACATCTCTGCTGGCCCTTGTCAGAGTCTATAGGTTCAGGAGAGTCAACTTTTTAGCCCTGTCTTGGTAAATTGTAGTGTATGTGTAGCATTGAATATAGTTTAAATCTTTTTGTTACAAAGCTAAGACCTAATTTAAACCAGAAAGGGTTAAATACAAAGTATTAAAGCTTGAAAGAAACTTTCTGTGCCAGTGTCTGCCTCAGGGGAAAATACTTGTTAAAATAAAAGAAGATACAAAAATTCTGAAACTCATGCTGGAAAATAGATAAAGTGCTTAAAGTGGCATTTTGTGGTTAAAGCAGATTAGCTGTTGTTTCTCTGGGAAGCTATAGAGCTCTCAAGGATAAAGATGTAAGCTCTGAAAGCATGATGCCTTGATGTCAGTGTTGCTTTTCTCTGAAGGCTGTGCTGTGCTCAGCAGAGATAAAGACAAGTTACCTGTGCGAAGGCTGTACTGGGGTGCAGGAGCTGGGTTTGGGTCCAACTGGTTTGAGTTAAGCAGTCTCCCTCTTGTTCACTGTTTTAAGGCTGTTAGTAAAGGCAGAATGAATCTGTATAGTCTTGGCCAGCTTCAGGATGTTTGTTAGGGGAGATGGGAGGGCTTGGTGGGGTTTGGGTTGTTTTTTAAATTGTAACACTTTTGCTTTATTTAAAGTGTTTGGAAGATTTAGCATTTTAGTCTTTAAACTTACCTGATGCCTATATTACCTCCTTTATTTTTCAGATGTATATAGCACTGATTTCCCTGCATGCTCTAATCATGGTGGGATTTCACTTCTTGTATTGCTTTGAAGAAGACTGGACAAGTGAGTACTAACAAAACACCTCATTAAAATACCAGATGCAGTTTGCTTGTAATGCAACCCCTTTTTAAGCTGGTTTCAGAAGAATGCTATGAGGGCTCTGCTATGCAACTTGGTTTATGATCAGTCTTGGAACTTCATAATTCTTTCTGACATGCTGGGGTGTCTGTCCTGAAAAGTCCTGTTTCCACTTAAGCCCAATACTGCCTGGGAAGAAGGTGAGATATAAACACACCGAGATAGTATATGGAATCATAGAATGGTTTGGGTTGGAAGGGCCCTTAAGATCATCCAGTTCCAGCCCCCTGCCATGGGCAGGGACACCTCACATTAGAGCAGGTTGCTCCAAGCCCTGTCCAACCTGGCCTTGAACACTGCCAGGAATGGGGCATTTCCCGCTTCTTTGGGCAACCTGTGTCAATTCCTGACAATGTCCAATAATCACCTGTGTCATGAACTCAGCACTGATTTCCTGAATGCTAGAACAAGATAAGAAGAATGTGTCTGCTTTTTTACAAGGGGAATGTGAATCATTCTTACAAGACTACCAGAAAAACATGCTAACTCAGATCCAAAATCCATGCTCGTAAGAACAAATAATTCCCTTCCATAGGAAAATGGAGAATTAAAAAAACAAACAAAACAACCCAAATAACTGAATAAAAATGGCACAGACAAAGAAAAATCCCAACCCTCTCTCTGGAGCAGCCAGCGAGGAAATGCTCACAAAGCCAGTTAAGATGTTTTGAAAAACACAAATGGATGTAGGAAATCGTCTAGGTAATGCTGAATCAAGCGGGAGGCTGTCAAGGAGTATGTGTGCAGCTGCATGTGCTGCTTGTGGATTGTTTTGGAAAAGCATTGGCTTTGTTTTTCTTGGAATCTCAGTCATGTCATTCAGCCTAATGACTGCTTTTGGTTTATCATACTGGAGAGGATGGGTACATTTATACATAGGAACTGAATTCGACAAGGTGGTTCAGTAGTTCAGAACTTGGTAAAACAGCTGCCAGCTGTCACTGAGAACATCTGGATTTGACTACAGTGGCTACAGGGGAAGGATACATCAAAGGATAATTTCCTTTGCCTGCTTTCCCAGAGCTTGTGTCTATGAGGGAAGCAGTTTCCCACCTGGTCCAAGTTTAGAGGGCAGAACAGAGCTGTTATGAGAGACAGGTTTGCTGTTCCAGCTGCCTTGGATTTGTGTTGGCTATATTGGCCCCTGATTCTGGTGTATCTGTTAAAGCTTAACATGAGAAAAACAGGAGCGTTTGGTGATACTCATTCTTGGATTTCAGAGGTGTTCTGATATTTAGAACACTCAGCACAACACTGCCCTGTAATGCATTCCTTCCCATTCCTCTCTTCTGTTCCCCTTTCATAGCTGCCTTCTCAGATATTTTTGCAGCTCTTACTTTAGTTTGCACTATAGAGAATGAAGAAAAACAAGAATTTGGCTTAGTCTGCCCTTCTTTAGGCTACAACAGAGCAGTTACAAAAGGAGGTGTGCTCTGGGTTTATGTTGGTGCTCAGAAATAATTACCCTGGAAATTTTTAATTGACTTTATCACTGTGGAAAATCCATGAATATTAAGGTTTTTAAGAGAGAAGCTACATGTGCAATGGAGTAGGCTGGAGTCCTGGCAAGTGTGCTGGGGCAAACATTTAAAGGCAGAAGAAGTTGCATTCTTGAAAGTGTTACAGGGTTGGTTTTTTTGTTGGTTTTGTTTTCTTTCTAAACTTGCAGGACTGATGATTTCAGTGTTGAATATCCTGAAGAATATCAGAGCTTCCCCATGAACCTTTCTGAGAGTAGTGCTCATATCATTTATTATGACTGTTTGAGTATGGAAAACTCATGGTTTAGCATGTGTTTTGCAGCTGCTGCATTACCTGACCTCTTCCCTTCCAACTCTGTTGCTTTGTCTTCACAGAATGCAGTTCCTTCTCTCCGCCAACTACAGTGATTCTTCTCATCCTCTTGTGTTTTGAGGCTCTCCTATTCCTCATCTTCACCTCGGTTATGTTTGGGACCCAAGTACACTCCATCTGCACTGATGAAACGGTGGGTGTCTCACGCACTCCTTTACCCTATCTCTCACCATTTGTAGAAACAGTGAAGGGCTAAAACACCTAGATGAGGCCCTCAGTGACATGGTTTAGTGGTGGACTTGGCAGTGCTGAGGAACTGTTGGATTTGATGATCTTAAAGGTCTTTTCCAACCTTAATGATTTTATGATTCTACTTTGTTGCACAAGGAGTTAATGTATGTGTACCCTTTGAGGAAAGATCCAGTGTAATAAACTGAGCTGGCCTAGTGCTGGATCATGCTCTGTAAAGGTTGCTGTGAGAGGTAGTGTACACCTGTGTACTGGCTGGAATGCTGTGTTGACAGTACCTCTGACTACTATAGGTAGTATGTGTCCCTGTGGAATCAAGAACCTTTTTCCTTTAATTACACTCTTTTTCATTGGTGTTGTCTCAAATTCAGCTGTGTTTCCCCTGGTGTCACTATTTACAGCTTTATGTGCTGCAAAGCCAAGATAAGTAGGTGGGGGAGGGAGATATATGTATGTGTGTGTGTATATATATATATATGCACACATATAAGCACACACACCCCCCCACACACACACTTCTTTTAGTCCAGAAGACTACCATTTCTTTCCATATTAAGCAGTTGAAAAACACTTACCAGAGTGAAGAAGAAAAGGAGTGGAGTAGGCTCATGGAAGCCTGGTGGGTACAGTCTGCTGTCATTCCCAGTCCTGCAATGGCACAGTAGAGGTTACATAGCAGTGTTGTGGTCCATTGCATATCCCTGCGTTTGTCCTGTTCCGTAAAGATGGAGCTGGTGACTCCTGGGGATGTTCCCACTCTTGTGGTTACTGCCAACCTTCACCAAGCATGCTCAGACACCTGCAGTGGTTGAAGAGAAGTGGTAGTCTGAAAAGAGTGACAACTCTTCCTCCCCTGCCTCCTTCAGTTTTCTTTCCCCTTCACTTGATTGCCCATGGCCAGTTGAAGCTAGAATAGGTATTTTTGCTGCCAGTGGAGAGATGTGACTGGCATTATAGACTGCAGGAACCCATCACTCCCAAGTCTTTTTTGCAGTTCTTTTCTTAATGCTTGGCTTCTGCAAGAGGCTGATGTTCACACTGTGGCTCTTGTGTGTTCAGAGAAAGACTTCAGAACAAGAAAGACTTGTTCTTTCTGCTGGGGAGAGCCCCAGGAAGAAGTATAGGGTCATACAGAACAACAGGATCCTGCCAAGCTTGAGTGTATCAGTAAGGGTGTAAATTAGCAATGCTGCCTGTGAAATCATCATTGGAATTTTCTTTCTTTGAAACCTCTTGAGAACTTTCAGAAGCTGCTTCCTACAGCTGGGCAGTAAGTCCCCTGATGTTCACCTTCCCCTCAAATTCGGGATCTCACAGATGTTAAAGGAACACCACCACATTCTAATATAGACATGAAGTATGGTCTGCCCCTGTTGGTTGTGGGGTTTCATTTTTGGTTTCAATATATACTAGTGATTTTGCTCTGTAGAATGTGTTATTGTTGATTTGCTAGCATTGAGCTAGCTGTGTCTGGCAAGCAATCAGTTTTAAGGAGAGGAATATTTCCAGGTGAAATTCTTTTTGGTGTGGTCTCTTGCAGTGTTTTACTTCACATTTTAGAACCAGTGCTGTGTCTTGCCCTTCCTCACCTTTATTTTCCCCATCTTATGTATGCTTTCCCACAGGGATTGTTCCTTTCTGCCCGAAAGGACCCAGAACCACATTATTTTCCTGCTGTCTCTAGAGGTGACATTACCAGGGATCAGCACAACTTGCAGATGACCCATGTTGTTTTCTGCAGAGCTCCCAGAATCAGTAATTTGAGACACACAGATGTATTACAGTGCATTAATCTATAACAGGGGAGAGACATGTAGGTCAGGAGAAGCTTACCTTGCAAAAGATCTGCAGTTACGGAACAGAGTGATCTTCCTGGTGCTGCTGTCCATGGAAGAGTGATGCTCTTCAGTGACTGCATTCATTCTGCTTCTGTGGCAGCCAGGCATAGCTTCTCTGAAAGACCAAACTCATGGTTTTTAGACACAATACGGGTAACTTTTACATTTTCTTAATGATTAACTAGGGAATGTTTCACCTGGCTGCTTCATGGTTTGTTTTTGTTCTCCCTCTAACCTTTACTAAACAATGCCAGTGGTTTCTCTCAAATCAGTATCTTATTTAACCTCTTCTCCCAGCTGTCAGCCCATGCATGGTTTAGCAGTGGCTCTAATGAAACATTAAGAGGCACCAGGTAGACTCAGCTACACTGAGCCATGGGCACTTCCTGAACTTGCTTGGTGAACCTGGGAGCATTAAAGAGATTGTCTTTGGGTTTGGGGTTTTTTTGTCTGCAAGCTTACGATGGTTTCCTCTCAAACTTTTCCATCTGGTTAGTACACAATGTTCAGCCATTAAAGCACATCCTTTTTGGTTGAGTTTCGGTGGTGGGGTCTTTCAAATTGACATGGGGGCAATTGGATGGCAGATTTTGAAAGGTTTATGAAACAGCTAAGCTGGAACAAGATGAAAATAATTTTATTTCTGAGGAATACTTTCTATCCTTACTATTTTTTTTTTAGTATAAAACAATGAAAAGAAAAGGAAAGGCAGGATAGATGCCTTATTTTACTTACTCCAGCCTTTGGATCAAAAGGGGTAACTGAGAGTAGACCTTTCCCCAAATCCAGAACTACCAAAATCTGAGTGTTTGACTGAAAATGTGATATTTCTGTTTTCAGGGAATAGAACAGTTGAAAAAGGAAGAGAGAAGATGGGCTAAAAAAACAAAATGGATGAACATGAAAGCAGTATTTGGCCATCCGTTCTCTATAGCATGGCTTAGCCCATTCGCAACACCAGACCAAGGAAAAGCAGACCCGTACCAGTATGTGGTCTGAGGAATTCCTGACCAGCATTTCCACTAAGATAGAAACATATTACAGCACTACTGCTACAAATTTTCCATGAATGTTTCAAACAAAAAGCAAAACAAACTTTTTTATGTCTATTCAATGGCTGATAATTGCAGAGTCAAAAAAAACAAAGGGCCCTGTATTTCACAATATCAATTGGAGATCTCTGGCTGAAAGTGCTGCTGCTTTTCTTACCCCCCCCTTCCCTTCTTTTTCTTTCTCTCTTTTTTTTTCCCCCTTTTTTTTTTTTTTTATATTTTAATTTTGTTAACTTCCCTGGCATTTGTTTCTCTCTGCTTTCTGTATGGCATAACTAATGTGAAGGGGATCCTCTTTCTCTGTTGTGCCCCACCTCTTCTGAGTGGATTCTCATGCTGTCCTCCTGACTGTGATGAGCTCTTTGGAAGACATATGAGTGCCAACAGCCCTTCACAGATACCTTTGGACTTCCTGAAGGAGCACATTGCTCTTTCATAAGTGAACTTGATCGGGGCAGCAGACACTTCACTTACCAAAAGGTGCAAGACAAGAACGCAGCACTGCAAGAGGGCCAGTTGACCTGGTGATCACATACAGTACTTAACATATTGCCAACACCAGTTCCCACCCCACCCTCCTTTTTCCTTCCAGGCACAGAACTGATTCCATCTTTCTGCATTGTTTTGTCTGTTCCCTCCCTGGTGTGCAGGAAATTGTTGCCCTCTTAGGATAATGGTGGCAGATTTAGAAGACTCTTTGGATTATTAAATGCCTTACACTTTGCAGGAAAGAAAGAAATCTAATTTCCAAGTGTTTAGAATAGCAGAATCATGTTTGTGTGTGTTTGTCTTGGTAATGACTTGTTAGAGCAATGCCTGCTAAACAGTGTTAACGTGAAAAACTGACCTGAATGCCTAGATTACTATAAAGACTGATACTGATGGGATGTGTAGGTGTCCTGGGGTGATGGATTCTATACTCTCAGCGTTGCCCTGGTTTAGAGCTTTGTAAATCTTTTCTCATACTTGTGCATACATGTGTAGGTGTGTAAGCACGCACATGTATGTGTGAGTGTTTTAAATTGGGAAATAGTTATGGTAAGGAGCATGCATACCCTTATGAGCTGTGTGGTGATGCAAGTGGGAGGGACAGAAGGCATTCCAAAACCAGGTAGAGCTAACCCATTCTTAACTACAGCTGACAGTTTGTGTTCAGGCAGGAGCTCTATTATAGTTTTGGATCGTGATTCCTGTGGGCTCATCAAATGAATTGCAAGCAAAGGAAAAATACAACTCAGCTGTGTCCATGACTTCCAAGGAATCTTTGCTTTCCTTGGTTTAAGATGAAATGGGATTTTTTTTGTTTAGATTGCTTCAAAGCCATGGGGGAAGGGAGGGAAATCAGGGAAGGAGAAACCGAATGGATGTCTCATTTTGGAAGTAATGTGAATGCTGCATCTTTTCAATCTGTCAATGCTTCCATATGGAAAACAAATGCAATAAAACTTTTCCAAAAACTTGTTTGCTTGTTCTTACTTTTTCTTCCCTTCCAATGTTGGCAAAAGTCTGTCGTGATTTTCTGAGCTTTCACTTCTGTGCACAAGCAGGCACATAAAGGTTAACTGAGTAGTCAACTTTTATGTTTAAAAGTGGGTTAATCACTAGTACACTGATCTGTTCATCAGTGGGTTTATTTCAGCACTTGGAAGAGGCTGTTAGTAACTGCTCTGCTGTGTAAGAGGGCTGTTTCTACAGTCCTTGCTCAGGGTACATCAGGAGTAGGTTGTCATGTCTGCTGCAGGACTGCGTGGAACATGGAAGGAACCACAGGCTGCACTTGCACCTTGGTGGGAAGAGCCACGTGAAGGAAACGTGGCTTTTCATACGTGTTCCCTTCACAAAGAGAAGTTCAGGAAGAGTTTAGGTGTAATCTCAACTGAAAGACATGCAGGTGGCAACTTGAACTGGTAGAGTCCAGCCCTAAAGCTGCCTTGACGCAAAATCAAGGCTTTAGTCACCCAGGCCATTACAAGTGAATGCATCTCTGTACCCGTCATTGCTTTAAAACTTGTTTTGATTATGAATTCCACTTGTGCACATTCCAGTTTTGGTTTATTTTAATCACCCTTATTCACTGTGTAGTCCGGAGGAAGGTTGGTTGTTCTAGCATCTTGACTGTTGTGAAAAAGTATGTAATTACTGTCTTTCTTGCTTCAAACAGCTGCAGATTCTTAAACAGCATTATATAGTATGGATATTTTCAGTCAAACTGCTTTCATTGTAAGTGAAGCATCATCTCAGCTTGCAGAAATGTCCATTGGTATCTGGTGTGTGTGTGAGTAACTGGGGGTCCTCAGTTTTACTTGCACTGTATGACTTGGTGGTACAATTTGGTGGGATTTGAATGATACTAAGTGCAAGTATTACTATGAGCAAGGCAGACTTACCCATCTGCTCATGAAAAGCTTTTCCTTGGGGAGGGCTCCTTAATTTCAGGTGCTAGTTCTGATTTAACATGGCCAAAAATTGAAGGATAAACTCAGTCAGAGGCAAGTGACTTCTTTTGCAAAGCTAAATGATGCTTCAAGCAGAAAAGAGTAAGGGAACTGCTGTAGGAAAAGTCTGCCTTAACCATGATTCCTGCTGGCAATGCTGCTTGTGTCTTCCCCTTAACAGACAAATTGTTACTGTGCTTTGCCTTTTCTCTTTGCTCTTTCCTGTTGGTTTTTCTCTTAAAATGAACTAACACATCTCTTCTAACATGCAAGAGCTGTTCTGCAGATCGCTTCGGGGCAGGCCACGCAGCCCGGCTTCCTCCTCTGGCACTGCAGGAGCTGATACTGAGGGCAGTAGTGGGAGAAACAGGGTCTATCCGACAGCATCACAGTGGTAACAAGTCAACCTTGTCCTACTGTCCCCGTGGTTGCAATGGTGTGTCTCTTACTGAAATGGGAGCGTTTAGTATTTTATAGTTCTTGATGTATGTCTTCTCTTTTCAGTATTTGTTCAAAAATATGTAATTGGGAAGAGCAAAAGATGACCGGACGAGGGGTGATGGGCTCAAATTGAAACAGTTCAGGTTAGATCTAAGGCAGAAGATCTTCCCTATGAGGGTGCTGAGGCGCTGGCACAGGGTGCCCAGAGAAGCTGTGGCTACCCCATCCCTGGCAGTGTTCAAGGCCAGGTTGGACACAGGGGCTTGGAGCAAGCTGCTGTGGTGGAAAGGGTCCCTGCCTGTGGCAGGAGGTTGGAACTGGATGATTTTAAGGTCCTTTCCAACCCAAACCAGTCTGGGTTTCTGTGATTTCTGAGCCCTTGGGTTTTTTTTAATGCAAAGCTGCGAAACAGGTGTCACTTTCATTTGAAATACAAAATTATCACTTTCTAAAATAATGGTGAGAGATTCTGGGTAAATGTATCTTAAAAAAGAAAAAAGGCTTTCATTAACCAGTCACGAAATGCCTGCAGCAGTTGTGCATTCCTTCCACCCCCCCGCTTTGGTTTATATTTATGGCAAAACCTCACACCCTACTGACCGTGGGGCAAGCAGCCAAAACTAGATCAGGATGCAACTTTGAATACTTCTGCTTGGTTTTCGTATGTGCTGTGAAGGGATTAGTGAGGTCAGGCTGGGAGAGAGAAAGTATGTCCCTGCCTAATCCGGCATTAGTACAACCTCAGTCTGACCTTGCCTTGCTTAGGACATGCTCTTTGGAGGAGGTGAATGATGGTTGTTTTGGGAGGGAAGAACAGGATTGCTGCCCGGAAGTCATTAAAATCCTTATTCCCAATCTAGACACCAGTGTGGATTGAAATGGGTTACACACATGACTGACAGCAGAGTTAAAGCTTGTGCTAATGGGGAAGGGTTTAAGTGTGTGGTGTCTGTTTCTCCTCCTGCCCTGTGCTGCTTGTTTTCCTTCTCTCTAGATACTCACACCGTAAGCGCTGCAGCCTCCGTGCCGGGTTGTTACTAACGCATTAGAAACCGCTAAGGAACAGCTGACAGCCAAAGGTGGTCTCCTGCTTCGAGCTGCAGAAGCATCTCCCTCTTGGTTGCAAAGCTGCAGGGTGCTGGAGGAGGAGCATCCTGAAGGGAAAACACATGGTAGTGCTAAAATGCTTTGTCAAAGCTCTGCTGTGCTGTGCACCAAGCATTGCAACCCAAGGGGCCAGAGGCTGCAAGAGATGTTCCCAGTGGAAAGTGCACATTGGCGATCTTGGGAGCAGAGCCAAGGGACACGTGCCTGTGCTTAGCGATGCAAGATGCGTGTTTGTCCTTTGGGACTGGAATTTCTGCAACTCTGAAGGCTGCAGTTTTGGTCTTGCCACGTTTATTTCTGCAGGTTCACTGCTGGATTTCATGGGGTGATGGGTTCAAACTGGAACACGGGCAGTTCAGGTTAGATCTAAGGCAGAAGCTCTTCCCTGTGAGGGTGCTGAGGCGCTGGCACAGGGTGCCCAGAGGAGCTGTGGCTGCCCCATCCCTGGCAGTGTTCAAGGCCAGGTTGGACACAGGGGCTTGGAGCAAGCTGCTCTGGTGTGAGGTGTCCCTGCCCATGGCAGGGGTTGGAACTGGGTGAGCTTTAAGTTCCTTCCCAACCCAAACCAGTCTGGGATTCTACAATTTCTCCTAAGTCAGCACAAGAAACGGGGCATGAATGGAGCTCACAAAGGCTTTGCATGCAAGTCTTAGATCGTTGCTCATGCTGACTCCCTGTTTTTGCAAACCCAAGCTGCTGCTCTATTGAAATGTGTTATTTCTAAGGCCCGCTGTGATGCCACTGAGCTGCTGCATGTATTCATTTCCCATCTCTGTGAAGCTTTGGAATGTTCTGTGGGTTGTTAGGGAAAATAGGCAGAAATAGAACATGGGAAGTGTCATTTTCATCCAGCTCTTCTAAAACTGCTCCTTTAAATGGTTTTAACTGAATTTCCTCATTTTATCTTCCCTGAGTGTCTCAAGACTTGGATCCAGTGTTCTTGCTTCTCTAAGAACAGTGTTTCTATGTGATCATTTGCATATCATCATGGGCATATCTTATGTAGATCTGACTCCCCTCTTACATGATACAGCTGATGGGCATACTGCCCATAGCAGTAGCCTTAGAAAAGTAGAGAGAACTTCTTAGTTCCTTGTTTCTACATGGAGAAGACAAGCAGAAAAACCTGTCACTGCCCAAATTTGATGGACCTGTTACTTAAACAGCATCACAATGTTTGCTGTACTGAGAGTGATGTTCTTGGAGGGAGAATGAGTCAGGATATTGACTGGTCTCAGTTTGACAGCTCCACTGCCACCCGTACAGTCTTGCTCACCTCCCAGAGGGTGCCCAGCCTGTGGTGTGATTTGTCTTTGACAGTTTGTTAAGTGGAAATGGTGTTCTTAAATATCTGCTCTAAATTGGCACACTGTATCCGCTTGTTCTTGTGTCAGCTTCTAGTGACAGGCCTAGATATGGCTGTGATAAATCCCTGAATACTGGAAAACATCACAGTGTTCTGCCTGTATCTGAACTATTGTAAGAATACCCAGAGAAGGTGAAATGTTCAGTTGTATTTTACTACTCCTTGGAGGAATTCAAAACCCATGCCTCCTAAAAGGATGGCTTTTAAGAAGCCATCTCTTGACCATAAAAATCAATAGCCACTGATACCAAGGTCACCACGATTCAGATTGTCCATGAATTTGGTCTTGGTTTGGGGTTTTGTTGTTAAATTTGGGGCCTACAAGGATGCTGGAGAGGGACTCTTCATCAGGGAGTGTAGCGACAGGACAAGGGGTGATGGGTTCAAACTGAAACAGGGGAAGTTCAGGTTAGATCTAAGGAAGAAGTTCTTTATTGTGAGGGTGCTGAGGCGCTGGCACAGGGTGCCCAGAGAAGCTGTGGCTGCCCCATCCCTGGCAGTGTTCAAGGCCAGGTTGGACACAGGGGCTTGGAGCAACCTGGTGTGGTGTGAGGTGTCCCTGCCTGTAGCAGGGGGTTGGAACTGGATGACTTTAAGGTCCTTTCCAACCCAAACCAGTCTGGGATTCTATAATGAAACTCTCTGTTACCTAGGACATCCGTCTTCATTGTTAACTAAAACTAGAATGACATGCTGGCTAGAGGTAGGATAGTTAGGAATATATATATATATAGATATTTTTGCACCTGCTACAGCAGTTGATGCCCAAATACCTGCTATAAACATGAAACAACCCAGAACTCTTCTCTTCTTGCAGGGTATTGAGCGTCTCAAGAATCAGAAGCCAACCTGGGAGAGGACCAGCGGCTGGGAAGGAATGAAGCTGGCGTTCGGTGGTGCCTTCTCCTTGGGTTGGTTCAACCCCTTTTCACACCTGAACTGCAAGAGCCCAGCACCAGCCGAAGCGGTGGCACCAGCTCCTGCATCTGCAATAATGACCCAAGAAGAAATCGAGCAGTTTCTCGCTCGGGACGTTGCCGTCCAAGTGTTACATGAATAAGCAAAGCATCCTCCACTGTGTCAGGAGCATCTTCTGGGTGGTTTCTGTTTCA